CTACCAGTACTACTACTACTACTATTACTACTACTACTACTACTACTACTACTACTACTACTACTACTACTACTACTACTACTACTACTACTACTACTACTACTACTACTACTACTACTACTACTACTACTACTACTACTACTACTACTACTACTACTACTACTACTACTACTACTACTACTACTACGACTACTACTACTACTACTACTACTACTACTACTACTACTACTACTACTACTACTACTACTACTACTACTACTACTACTACTACTACTACGACTACTACTACTACCACCACCACCACCACTACTACTACTACTACTACTTCTACTACTATTCGTACTACCATCACTCATATTGAAATGGCCTCCGGCCAGTGCCGCCGATCCGGGGCGCTCTGGATGAGGATGATGACGATGATGATGATGCTCATGATGATGATGATGATGATGATGATGTTAATGATGATGATGATGATGATGATGATGATGATGGTGGTGATGATGATGACGATGACGACGATGACCTTGTGTTCTCTTGTGGGCCTCGTGGAAGCCTTTTGGAGCCTCTCGGGAGCTTCTGGGAGGCTTATTGGAGCCTCGTGGGCGCCTCTATGCTGTTGGGGACGGAAGACTTGTCATGTTAGAAGACAGCTCTCGCTCGAGACATCCTCATAGGATAGAGATGTTGAAATGGCTTGCGGAACTTTCGGATCTTGGAAAATGACGCTCTTGCCTGAGACACATTCAAAATCCGGAGATGTTGAAGTAGCTGTAGTACGACATCTTGTGGAGGCGCTCTTGGAGGACCTTGTGGGGCCTCTTGGGGGCGTCTTGGGGCCTCCTGGGGGCCTCCTGGGCCGTCTTGGGCCCTTCTTGGGCCGTCTTGGAGCTCTTTTGGGCGCCTCTTGGGCCCGTCGTGGAGCCCTCTTGCGCCGTCTTGGGGGCCTCCTGGGCCTGCGTAAGCCCTTCTTAGGCCGTCTTGGAGCCTTTTTGAGGGCCCCTTGAGCCGTTTTGGACACTGTGAAGGCCCAAGAGGCGAAAATGCTACAAATGTAGGGTTTCCTTTGGGGCCAGTTGGGGCCTTTTGGGGCCTCTTGGGGGCGTCTTGGGGCCTCATACTAATCGTACAACCATCACTATTCTGATTTCTAATATCATTACTTCTGCTACTATTGTTACTACTAGCACCATTGTTCGTACTACTGCCACCACAACTACGACTACGAGTACCACCATGATTATGATTGCTAGTATCATTCCCTCTACTACGATTATCACTACTACTACTACTACTACTACTACTACTACTACTACTACTACTACTACTACTACTACTACTACTACTACTACTACTACTACTACTACTACTACTACTACTACTACTACTACTACTACTACTACTACTACTACTACTACTACTACTACTACTACTACTACTACTACTACTACTACTACTACTACTACTACTACTACTACTACTACTACTACTACTACTACTACTACTACTACTACTACTACTACTACTACTACTACTACTACTACTACTACTACTACTACTACTACTACTACTACTACTACTACTACTACTACTACTACTACTACTACTACTACTACTACTACTACTACTACTACTACTACTACTACTACTACTACTACTACTACTACTACTACTACTACTACTACTACTACTACTACTACTACTACTACTACTACTACTACTACTACTACTACTACTACTACTACTACTACTACTACTACTACTACTACTACTACTACTACTACTACTACTACTTCTAGTTCCACTAGTATGACTACTACTACTTCCTACTACTACTACTACTACGGCTACCACTACGACTACCACTATTACTATTGCCTCTACTGCTACTACTACTACTATTACTATTGCTTCTACTGCTACTACTATTGCTACTACTACATCTACGACTGCTACTACTACTATTACTATTACTACCATTAGTAATACAACACTAGCGCCACGAGTGCTACTACGAGCACGGCGGTTACTATTATTACTACCACGACAGACTACTTTACATACTACTACTACTACTACTACTACTACTACTACTACTACTACTACTACTACTACTACTACTACTACTACTACTACTACTACTACTACTACTACGACTACGACTACGACTACGACTACGACTACGACTACGACTTCTACTACTACTGCTACTACTACAAGTGCTACTACCACCACTACTAATACTAGTTGGTGTTTCACACGGATCCCATGAGGGCCTGAAGGGATCCCCACACAGGTTTGCAGGGGTCACATGGGGATCCCATGGGGATTTGTAGGGGTCCCATAGGGGTTGCATGAGGGTCTGTAGGGATGCCATAGGAATCCCATGAGGGTCTGTCGGGATCCCATAGGGCTCCCGTGAGGGTCTGTAGGGTTCCCATAAGGATCCCATGACGGTCTGTAGGAATCCCTTAGGGATCCCATGGGGGTCTGTAGGGATTCTATAGGGAACCCATGGGGGCCCCATAGGGGTCCCATTGGGATCCCATGAGGATCCAATTTTGGAATCCCAGACGGATTCCATGAGGGTCTGATGGGATCCCATAAGGATCCCATAAGGACCCCATGAGGATGCCATATGGATCCCATATGGATGCCGTGAGGGTCTGATGGGATCCAATCGGGATCCCGTGAGGGTCTGTAGGTGTCCCATTGGGATTGCATGAGGTTCTGTAGGGATCCCAAAGGGATCCCATGAGGATCCCATATGGATCCCATCGGGATCCCATGAGGATCTGTAGGAATCTCTCAGGGATCCCACGAGGACCCCATAGGGATCCCATGAGGATCCAATAGGAATCCCATAGGGATCCCAGGATGGTCTGATGGGACCCCGTCGGGATCCAATGAGGATCACACATGGATTCCATGGGGATTGCATGAGGGTCTGTGGGGATCCCATGGGGATCCCGTGAGGGTCTGTAGGGATCCCATACGGATCCCATGAGGATAACATGAGGGTCTGTAGGGATTTCATATCAAGCCCAGGAGGGTCTGTAGGGATCCCATAGGGATCTCATGAGGGTCTGTAGGGATCCCATAGCCATCCCATAGGGATCGTATAGGGATATCGGAGGGTCTGTAGGCAACCCATAGGAATCGCATCGCAGGTGCACTCTTGCATTGTGGAGGTCGGCGTCCGTGGATGTGCGAAAAGGTCTGTGTTCAGTTTCCTTTGTGATGCTTACTTTTCTGGCGTTGTTCTGTCGTTCTGTTGTTCGTTGTTCGGGGGCGTGGGGGGGTACCGGGTACCTGGCAGCCGGGTTCGCCCCTTGTGGGGAGCCGGCCCGCAGCCGGCTTCACTTTGTTGTTGTTGTCGTCGCTGTTGTTGTTGATCGCGAACGCCTCCATGGATGCAGCTGCCATCCCGCCATCCCACCAATCTCTTAGCAACGCCCAGTTTGGAGAGCAAGGAGCGAAGAGGAGGACGAGGATGAGCGAGGAGGGGGGGGAGCGTCGGAGAGGAGGGAGCAGGGAGAAGCGAGGGAGAAGACGGGGAGGATGAGAAGGACTATCCATTTGACGTTTCTGTATCCTCTGGGCCTCTGTAGGGTTCTCGTCGCCACGGCTGCGTACGCGTTGAGATCCTCGTCAGACAGTGCTCCTGGGCAGGTCTAGTGGTCGATTTTGAAGGGGGGAGGGGGGGAGAGGGGGGGGGGAGCGGAGGCGGGAAGGAGGGATGGCCGGGAGAGGAACCTTGATCACCACCACTAGATTGGGTCTGTGGATGCTTGGTGGCGCTGGTCGGTTGCCTTCGCCCGAGAGGGGGTGCGCTCGCCGTCTTCGCAGGTTGTGCAGGTTTCTGTGTGTGCGCTCCACGATGCTGTGCCGCATGGTGTTCTTTGAAGTGGTATGCTTCCAATTGTATGGCAGGGCGCTGAAATCGGGAACGCTGTGCGCTCGGGGGGGATACGGTTTTTGGGGGCGCTTCTTAGGTCTTGGTAGGGGAATCTCATCGTGGCCGAGGCTCGGCGTCCCCAGCTTCGTTCCACTTTCGCCGCTAAGTATGGTAGCGCGATGACTGTAGCGTTCCTGTGGCAGCAGTGTTCGTTCAGTCTTGGGTGTGTGGTCTCGCACACGATCATGTGGACCCTGCTCTCACAGTATCGTTTACTATAGTGCTTTAGTGCGGTGATGGTTTTGCCCGGTTATGTTTGCATTGAGGTTGTTGTGTGGATTTAAATTGTTTTTTAGGGCTTGTCGTCTCTCAGTTTGTGTGCTGAACGTTCTGCGGCCCCTCAGGTTGTGTGATGTTCATAGGTGGTGCCGCCACTTCGACACGACTCAAAGCCAGCGACGAAATGCTGCACAGCAGTTGCAGTGCCAATTCGGTGCAGGCAGAAGGGATCAATCTCCAGAGCGGTAAGGACGGCTCGGGCGAAACGACACGCCCGCCTTGCCGACACGTCTGCTAGCACCGTGACGGGTACGCAGTTAGTTGTTCAGAAGGAGCGATGGAGGGAGGCGGGAGGCGGCGGTGGAGGAAGAGGGGGGGTGGGCGGAACGCAAAGCGCAGACGAGCAAGCAGGGAGGAGGTGAGGACGACGAGGACTGGGGGTGAGGGCTGGGGAAGACTGCAGAGGAGAGCGGGGCCGGAGAGGAAAGGGCACGGGACGAGGACCCCGAGGGGCGGGGATGAGGTAGCAGGAATGTGGTCAGAGGGAGGACTTGGCATCGCCCGGACGTGTGCGTGTTTTTCCTCGGCGAGGACCTTCGGGGAGCACCCTGGATCACCTTGCGACAGACATGCGCACGAGATCGAGCCGTGCACGGGGAGCGGACGCCCGAGCGGTGGCGAGAGGAGGGCGGGGGAGGAGGGCGGGGGAGGGCGACGCCAGGTGTGGAGGACCCAGGAGGGGCGAGGGCAGAGGGGAGCGGCCGGGGCAGGGGCAGCGGCGGCGGGAGCCTCCCCGCCCCCCCGCCCCCCGCCGCGCCCCCAGACGACGCGGCGCCCGAGGCCAAAGTGACCCTCGAGTCTGCGGAGTCCGTGCCCGCGCAGGCCGCGGGCGCGCGCCCGCCGCGCGCCCGCTGTCCGCGCGGCGGCGGCGGCGGCGGCGTCGGCGTCTGTCGTCGTCGTCGCCGTCGTCGTCCTCGTCCTCGTCGTCGTCGTCGTCGTCGTCGTAGTCGTCGTCTTGTTGTCGTCGTCGTCCTCGTCCTCGTCGTCGTCGTCGTCGTCGTCGTCGGTGGCGCCGAGGAGTCGAGGTTCGGAGATGCTTTTCCTCAAAGATCGGGGAATCGTGAGACTCGAGTTCGCCGGATCTCGGGTTTTCCTGCGCTTTAAGACGGGCCCGTCCTGGATTTTGATGGCCCGGTTGTCGTGGGATGTTTGCAGCGGGAGCTCGCGTCAAATTTCACTGTGGGTCTCGTCCTTTTCCTGACGGCCCTGTCAGGCCAACCCTGGTCTTCCGAACCCAAGTCTTACGTCTCGGACGGGGCTAGGACGAGGATCAATCCGTTCCAGAGCGTTCCGGAACGCTATCAGAGCGTTCCGGAACGCTCTGAGAAGGCTGCGGCGCCCGAGACATCTTCCAGAGCTGCTTGATCTCAGAGATTCTCGAATTATCCTCACCCGATTTTACCCTCGTCCTGGATTCGTCTCAGTCGAGGATCGCGAGGAGTTGAGCATTCGAGGTTCGAGGAGTCGAGGTTCGGAGGTGTGTTTTTGCTTCGGTCTGGGCCTCCGGGGGCCAGGTGATCGTTTTTGATTGACTGTTTTGCCGATCGGCGCGGGCCCTCCCCCCCCCATGGAGTAGATTTTTGGCGCCTGCTTAAAACGGGTGGAGCCAGAGACAGTATTCTTGCAGACAGTCGCACTAAACAGAGGTCTGGAGCCAGACACCCCCCCTTCCCCCCTTCTTTCCGCCCAGTGCCGAAACGCCGAATAAAAAACGCTCACCAGGGCGGTATGGGTCCTGGGGCTGATGTTGATCGAATTTCGGCCGCCGTCGTCCTCGTCGTCGTCGTCGTCATCGTCGTCGTCGTCGTCGTCGTCTTGTCGTCTTGTCTTTGTCTTGTCCGCGCGGTGGCGGCGGCGGCGGCGGCGGCGGCGGCGGCGGCGGCGTCGTCGTCGTCGTCGTCGTCGTCGTCGTCGCCGCCGCCGTCGTCGTCGTCGTCGTCGTCGTCGTCGTCGTCGTCGTCGTCGTCGTCGTCGTCTTGTCGTCTTGTCGTCGTCTTGTCGTCGTCGTCGTCGTCGTCTTGTCGTCGTCGTTGTCGATAGCATCTTCAGATTGGGCGCTCCAAAAATGGCCTCCTCGTCAGGAATTGAAGGGCTGCCGTGCAGGAGGACGGGGAGGGAGGGGGGGGGAGGTTCGAGGATCAAGGCTTCTTCCCAAACATCAGGTGGTGTTGGCGTCCTCTCTTCTCCTCTCCTCCTCCCCTCCACCCTCCATTCATTCCTGCCTCTGCCCGCCGCATGTCCGTGTCGGCACACCCCTCACACGGTTCGTGGCCCAGTAGGGAGCTCCACGGAAGGCCCCAGTGGAAGCGCCCACAAGGTGCCCCCCCGTCGATTTCAGCATGTCCTTCGCACGTTTCGTGGCCCCACGTGGAGCCCCACCGAAGGCCCCAGCGGCACCACCTCCCATCTTGGCATACCACCCTACACGCTTCGTGACCCTGCAGGGAGTCTCACCGAAGGCCCCAGAGGCAGCGCCCCCTCCTCCTCACCCTTTCCCTTCCTTCCCCCTCCTCTTTCATTCCCCTCCCCGAGCACGCTGTGCAGCACGCCGGCATCGACCTCCAGGGCATTCCTTCCTTCCTCCCTCCCCTCATAATCTGTTGCACAAGTGTCTCGCACTGCATGTTGCCCAGACACGCCAGACGATGTCCGCAGCGGTGGTCGCATCGTATCCCTCTTCCCTCCCATGCCCTGCCTCGCCCTCCTGGGTCGATGCTCGGGCGGGGTTCCCTGTCGCAGCCTGAGGGCGCCATCCGCATCGCCCCGGTGAGCCGCAGTGGGGCGACGCTAAGCGCCCGCCCGCCCGCCTTCCCGGGGGGCGCACCCCGTCTCCCCCGGCCCCGGGCGGACCAAGGAGTGGCCAATCCCCCTTCCGGGCCCCGCGCGGCCTCTCTGAGCCGCCAGCCCGAGAGGCTGCGGCCCGGGCTGTCTTCAGCGCGCAGCCCTGCGAGCTGGGCAATCCGCCATTGCCAGACCTCTCCGCGAGCTTGGTCGGGGCAGCTGCTGACGCGCTGCTCAATGGCTCTGTACGGTCGGACCGAGGCATAAGATCGAGGTCGGTTTGGGGGGGGTCCCATCATGTTCTTCGTGCTTCTTGGTCATCCGTGTGCATCCATGGGGAGGGCAGCCTCGAATGTTCTTCAGTTTGGGCCCAGTTTGGGTCGGCGGAGGGCCTCATGTTCTTGAAGGATGATGTTCTGTCTCAGGTCCGGGTGTGCATCGTCGCCTCTCAAGAGGGCCAAGAACAAGTTGTTCATCCGACGCGCGATTGAGTTCCATAGCGTGGCCGCGGCCCTATGCAGATGAGCAGGGCCCGCGTCGCCCACGTGGCCATGAAGTTCGCTCGGCGGGTGACGGCCCACACAGACGGCTCGTTCGTGCGCGAGCGGGAGACAGGATGCGGAACGAGAGTGGCAGCGCTCATGAGGAGGGGCCGTTGCCGTCAAATTGGCAAGGAGATACGGTCGGACCGAGGTGCAAGATCCAGGTCGGTTCGGGGAGGGTACCCTAATGTTCTTCGTGTTTGTTGGATGTTCGTGTGCATCCTGACGGAGGTTACCCTCGAATGTTCTTCAGTTTGGCCAGCGGAGGGCTTCATATTCTTGAAGGATGTGATTCTGTCCTAGGGCCAGCCGTATGCCACTTGCTGGACGCGGTGGCCCTGTCACTCAAGCCGGTATGCATATCGACTGTCGTCTCAGAGCTGCTGGCCGCTCGCGGGGACGCTGGCGGACTGGACGCCTTCCTGCGAGATGACGCGCGGTCCCGCCACTGCCTGCGCGACGCTTCGATCGGAAGGAAGATGCGAAGCGCCCGTGCTCCCGCGCTGCTCATGGACGATCGACGACTGAGTTGCGAGCAGGCGTGGCAGCGGCAGCGAGGCAGCTGGCCGCTGAACTCCTTGCAGCTCGCCGGCTCGACGAATTCGACGCTCTGCGGAGCACTGTTATGCTGCCGCGCTGGCGGTTCGTAGCGCGGCACGGAATCAGTCACCTATGGCAGTGGAGAATAGCGTGGTACACCATTGCGGCACGAGCAGGTGCTCCTCCCGCGCGGCGGTGCCATACACAACTTCCCGCGGCTGGCACGCCAGGAACAGCAGGGAGCACACGGAAGGGTGGCGCGTGCGCTGCGCCCGAGTTTGTTGCGTGAGTTGCTGGGACCTGCGGCAACGGCAGGCTTGATCGAGGCACCAGACTCGAATGGTGTCCGACATTGTCCTGCCCGCCGCCAGCTTCCCAAGGATCCCACCGTGCTTGTGATACGGGATGGGGCGCGGTCCGAACGTGGTTCCTTCGCTCGATGTCCTCGCCGAAGGCGCGTTGCCCATTCCCGCTCCAACCCGTTTCTTTTCTACTTTGCTGCTGCTGCCGCTCCTCTTGTTCTTATGTTGCTCTCCTCCTCCTCCTCCTCCTCCTCCGCATCCTTCTTCCTCCTCCTCCTCCTCCTCTTCCTCCTCCTCCTCTCCCTCCTCCTCCTCCTCCTCCCCCCCTCCTCCCCCCCTTCCCCCTTCCCCCTCCTCATCCTCCTCCTCCTCCTCCTCCTCCTCCTCCTCCTCCTGCCTCAACCTCCCTCCTCTCCCTTCTCCTCCGCCCCTGCAGAGAAGCCGCCCCCCCTCGGCGCGCCAGGCCGGCCTGCTGCTGCAGGGGTCACCCCGCGCTGCGCAGCAGGCCCGCCTTGGCCACGGCAGCAGTGGCCGTCGCGCGCAGGAGGGGCCAGCGATGACCCAGAGATCCGGCGCTCCCCCCAAAAAATGGAGCGGCGGGTTTCTGGCCGCTTTCGGCCTCTGGGGGCCCTCGCTGGGCCTCGGGACCGTCAGAAAGAGACTCAGGAGGAAAATCAAAAATGGAGTGGCGGGTTTTTGGCCGCTTTCGGCCTCTGGGGGCCCTCGCTGGGCCTCGGGACTGTCAGAAGACGACTCGGGAGGAAAAGCCAGCCCCAGGGAAGTGGTCCAGACCTCCAGGGTCTACGCATCGAAGAAATTGGAGCGGCCCGATGTCTTGGGACGGGGGTCAGCCAGATCGTTTCTGGGTGACCCGAGTGTGGGGGCCATGTGGAACCTCGGTAGCCAATCGTGGGAGCCGCGTGTGCCCTCGCAATTCCGTCTTCTGAGTGCACTAGCGTCGATTCACGGCATGGTGGCCGTGACCGATGATGTAGCGCTGACTTAGCGTCGATCTAGCGTCGACTCGCGTCGATCATCGTCGGTTCGCGCCGGCTCGCAAGAGCCGGCAAGATGGCATCGGAGGCTCCCACGAGTTGCCGCAGAACGTGGGACCCATCCCCCAGTTCCGCCCTCCGGTGGCCCGCCCGGGTTTCTGTGCTGCAGGGCGTCTGGCCAGGGTTCGCGAGGTGGCCCTAGCTGGCCCGCGTCAGCGCTCACCCAAGTAGCTACCCGGGTTACGTAGCTCGTCCCCGCGGAGGAGGAGGAGGAGGAGGAGGAGGAGGAGGAGGAGGAGGAGGAGGAGGAGCGAGGAAGAGGAGCGAGGAGCGAGGAGCGAGATGCGAGGAGCGAGGAGCGAGGAAGAGGAGGAGGAGCAGGTAGAGAAGCAGGAGGAGGGGGGGGGAGGGGGAGGAGGAGGAGGATTCTTCAACAAATGATGCCATTCACGAGTGAGAAAGTCAAGTCAGAGCAGCCTGGAGGGCAGATCGCACTGCCCTGACCACGGCGATCAGGATCGTAAGGGCCGTTGGAACAGCAAGCAATGCGAGAGCCGAGGCAGGCGGACTCCCGCCTCACCTCTTGGGTGAGGCGCAGCTCCGCGCCCCAGCGCTGGTCGAGCAGACGCAAACATGGATCAGGGCACGTGGATTAGCTACGGGTCCCGTTGCCAGACCACGTCGGCGCATTCCGTCGCTCAAGGAAGCGGCAGTGGCGCCAAGTCTGGGGGGGCCGCGTTCCCCGATCCGTGGACCTGGCGCCCACTCGCCAGATCCTTAGATTCCTTCGATCCCTGATCCATGCTTGCGTGTGCCCGAGTTGGAGGGTAGGAGGTCGATGATGCGACGCGCGGCTTCGCAGAGTGCGCACTCGGTGACAGTGACGTGCCGAGGCGGCACATCTCAAGAGACAAACAAAGCAGCAGCGGCGGCGACGGCAGTGTGGTCCAAGGCCGCCCCCGCGTGAGCACTGCGTTGAAGGGAGAGATGGGGGTGAGAGGGAGGGGGGGGCGATGACCTTTAGATGCAGGTGACGCATTGAACAAATCGTTGTGGGGCGGCCAGCTTCGCGTTGTCTCAGGCATCTGGAGGCTGCTTCCCGGCTCCGGGACCGTCAGAAACGGCTCGGGATCGGAAGCCGAACCCAGGATTTGGGGCAAGGGTCTGTTCTTGTTTTGGTCCCCGACACCACTTCGAAACGTCGAGACACCGCATTGCTGGGGAGGGGGATGATGAGAAGGAAGAGGACCAAAGCAAAGCAAATATGCATCAGCGATGTGGCAATCCACCCTCCCGTCTCCCGTCCCAGGTCCCCTCCCCATACGCCCCTACACGTTTTCTTCTTCACTACGAGACGCGCCCTCCTTGAAAGACCATAAGAGTTTGGCCTGCCATTGTGGCGAGGACCGCGCTTTGAACAGGAATCCCCTCTTGAGCGTAATCAGGAACGCGAAAAAGTATGATCATACAGTTCAGCGAGGTGTCCAGCGAGATTCCCCTTTCGAAGAAGGGCCGGCCCCCATCCGTGCACGGAAGTGTTGCGCGCTCCTGCACTTGTGGTCATGAGGTCTGAAAAAATCTCAGACGACGACAGCAAAATTTCCAAAAGAGCCGCCCTGGAACCGTGCAGCGCTACATATGTTGACGTTCCCCAGACGGTGATTACACTAAAGAGTCTTTCTTATCTTTCTGAGGAGTTGCGTGGGGCCGGCGAGATTTCGCCACGTTGCTGCCCGTTGCCGCCTCGTTGCCGCCCCGCTCGCTGGGTGCAGCCGGCGAGGTTTCGCCACGTTGCCGCCCGCTGCCTTTTCGTCGCCGTCTCGTGCGCTGGGTGGATCTGGCGAGGTCTCGCCACGATGCCGCCTCGTTGCCGCCTCGTGCACGGGTGGGTCTGGCGAGGTTTCGCCACGTTGCTGCCCGTTGCCCACGTCGTTGCCGCCTCGTGCGTTGCGTGGGTGTGCGAGGATCCGGCATGTTGCCGCCCGTAGCCGCCTCGTTGCCGCCTCGTTGCCGCCTCTTTGCCGCCTCGTGCGTTGCGTGGGCATGCCGAGGATTCGCCCACGTTGCCGCCCGTTGTCGCCTCGTTGCCGCCTCACGTGCTGGGTGGGTCTCGCGAGGTTTCGCCCCCGTGCCGCCCGTTACCATCTCGTTGCCGCCACGTTGCCACCACGTGCGCTGGGTGGGTCTGGCGAGGTGTCGCGCGTTGCCTTCTTGTTGCCGCCTCGTGCGTTGGGTGGGTCCAGCGTGGTTTCGCCACGTTGCCTCCCGTTGCCGCCTCGTTGCCGCCTCGTGCGCTTGGTGTGTCATGCGGTGTATCGCAACGTTGCCTTCTCTTTGCTGTCTCGTTGCCGCCTCGTGCGCTGGGTGGGTCTGGCAGTCTGGCAAGGTTTCGCCACGTTGCCGCCGTTGCTGCTTTGTTGCCGCCTCTTGCTTTCTCCACGTGTACTGCACCACATCGCTTACACCAGATGAGCTTGCACAACATAGCTCACACATCCACAGTGCAATAGCTGACCTGCTGTTTGGGGTCCACGCTGGCGTGTTTAATCTGGAGAAGTCTCACGCGAGAGCTCGAGTTTAGAATAGAACCGTTCTTCACCTTGCTTAAAGTTACATGTGAAAACGAATGCGTACGCCGCTGCAGCGAGAATCCCGAATTAGCCAGCGCAAATTTCAAATTGATCAGAAGACTGAAATGACATGGATCGGCATTGACTAGAGAAGATAGGACTGGAGTAGACTGGATTAGACTGGGGTGCATTGTTTTCCGCCTCAACATAGATGATGCACAATGCGTGGCAGGAATACGAAGCGGCGCACATCCCGCGCGAAAGGCCAAGACCTCGTTCTTGTCATGGCGCCGCGCGCATTTTTCTGCAGAGTTGAGCCCCCGCTGGGGCGTGGCGCACATTTTTCGTACGCGGCTGTGCCGACGCGCGAGCTCTCGTCTCGGCGCCGCGCAGATCTCGCTTGAAAGTGGCGCTCCCGCCCCGATGCGGCGCAGCTTTTTCGCTCGCCGGTTTTCGGAGGCCCGCGCGAGTGGGTGACTTGTCGCCCTTGCCCAAGCTCCGTGCGCAGTTCGCTCGGAAGTCGTGTCCCGCGCCAGCGCAGCGCATGCTTCGTTCGCCGAGTCGCGTGACAGCAACAGCGGCAGCGGGGCCGTGCGAGAGCGGGTGAAATGCCGACCTCGCCCAAGCGCCGCGCAGTTTGTCAGTGAAGGTGGAGGTGTTGCGCCAGGAAGCTGTGCCACACTTGATTCGTAGGTGTTGTGGGGTTGGATGGGGCTAGGCGGGGCCCCCTGTCTCAATCAATCTAGCCTATTTGATTATGCTTTTACTCTACTCCTGCTTTAATGTGCTCTCCTCGATTATGATCCACTCTGCTCTACTGAACTTCATTTTTTATTAGTATGATCTACATATTATACTCAGGTGAGCTTCTCTTCTACTCTGCCCTACTTTATTATATTCTGCTCTATTGCTGATTATGACAACGATTGGGCGATTCTTAGGACGCCATTAGAATAGCCACATGATGCTTTTTTTTTCTAGCAGAGGAAGCCATGCGTATACCGAGGAGCCAATGCGGATACAGAGGAAGCCATACGGATACCAGAGGAAGCCATGCGTTCGAAGTTCAATGTTCGAAACTTTCGCAATATTTGAGACGAATGTTCGCGACGCTTCGGCGAGACCCGTACTTCAGAAAGGGGCCTCCTTCCATCCGTGAAGCCGTTTCATGATGTGCAATGTATGTGGTGCAATATATGTTGTGCAATCCACTTGTGGAATTCGCAGTTGTCAAGGAGGAGGAGGAGGAGGACGAGGAGGAGGAGGAGGAGGGAGGATACTGTCGGCTTACGCAGCCTTTGAGGGTTGCTGGTCCCTACATCTACGCATGTGAGGTCGCAGCCCCAAAGTGAAGGGGTCAACGCGTGCTGGGCCAAAACCCAACCATGAAGGGGTCCATTTATGAAGGGTCGCAGTTCCCGCATCAGGGATCAACGCATGAGGGGCCCGCGTCACGGCAGGAGGGATCGACGCATGAGGGGACAAGGCCTCAGCGATTGGGTCAGCGCGCGGCGGGTCATAGACTCAGAACGAAGCGTCAGCGCATGAGATGTCCTATAGGAGGGGGAGGGCCCCAGAATGAGGGGCCAACAAGTGAGGGGACGGAGCCCCAGCGGATGGTATGCGCATTCCGCGTCCTTTGTGGCCGCAACATTGTTCAACCGTAGCATCAAGACGCGCAGGACGAGGTCGAGAGGCGGCCAAAGCGTTTAGCGGGGTGGCAGGATGAGCTAGAAAGAACAAGTACACCGGGGTGGCAACTTGGCGAAGGAGGATGGGGCAGCAGACTCACCACCCACCGAACCACCCAACCCAACCCGAAGGCTCCAGATTGCCCTCCATTTCCAGCCAGTGGGGGGGGGGTCGAGAAATGTTGAGAAACCACATGTGAAACCCGTACCCCCCCAACCCGAAATTCGGGTCTTCGGGTTGGGTTGGGGTGGTCTGGTAGGTAGTCACAGACGGGTAGGCAAGATGCGAGGCAGAATGACATCCGAAGACCACCTGCATCCCATGAGGGGACAACGCTGAGAGCGAGGGGTCAACACATGAGCTAACACGGCAACTCCACGGCGCTGTCAACGTCCGAGGGGTCACACCTGGCTCCGTGTGCAGGAGCTACGGTCTCGACGGGAGCCACAAGTGCGAGGACTGGTGCACTCACTGCTTCTCCAGCCAAGGCCACGGCCCCCTCGCGGACGCGTCACCTCGGAGACTCGGGCGGGGCATCCCCTTCTCCGCCCTCGCAGCCCCAGGAAGGACCCGCAGCAGGGCAGGGCTGGAGGAGCAGCAGATGTCGCCACAGGGCTGAGGAGCCAAAGCCCCGGCACGAAGAGGCAGCGCATGAGGCGTGCCCTGCACGAGGGGTCAGCGCATGTGGACCCAAAGCCCAAGCGATGGGGTCAACGCGTGGTGGGTCGTAGACCCAAAGTTTAGGTCACCGTATGAGAAGCCAAATCCTGAGTCTTTCACAGGAGGGGCCAAGCCCCAGCATGAGGGGTCCAGTGATGAGGGGCGTCAGCCCAGCATACGGGGTCAACGCATGGGGGGCCAAAACCCTAGCGACGGGGTCAACGCATGGAGGGTCGCATACCCAGAGTGAAGGGTGAATGAAAAGAAAATCAAATCCACAGAATGAAGGGTCAATACACGAGGGGGCAGCCCCAGCGTGAGGGGTCAACTGTGAGGGGAAACACGCAGGCATGAGTGGATACCGCGTGAGGTCGGTGGGGGCCGTAACCCCAGGATGAGTGGCTGCAATGCGACGAATCAAAAGAAGTTGCCAAAGTATTCCATGTGATCGTTTTTTCCTTCATTATTTTGCCGATCGGCGCGGGCCCTCCCCCCCCCTCCCCCCCCCACGTGGAGTAGATCGTGGCTGTTTTTGGTGCCTGTTTCGAGCAGGTAGAGTCTCCCCCATAGGACGCACGGTCACAGTCGCACTAAGCAGAGGTCCGGAGCAGGACCCCCCTCTCCCCCCCTTCTGCCCAATGTCGAAACGCTGAATAGGAAAACGCTCACCATTGATACTTGTGTGTGCAATGCAGGAACATCTGCGGTCAGTGCCGCCTGGTGAGGCCTCGTGCGCCCAGGCTCTGGTCGTCCCCAACAGTTGGGGAAGGGTAATAGAATGAATTGGGAGAGCAGAAGACACCAGGGTAACAAGGTGGCCAGGAGGAGGAGGAGGAAGAGGAGGAGGACGAGGGAGGAGGAGGAGGAGGAGGAGGAGGAAGAGGAGGAGGAGAAGGAGGAGGAGGAGGGGAGGAGAAAAACAAATATGAGAAGTGGGGCTCCCTGCATCCCCCCCTGGGGTCCCAGGCGGCGTCTCATCAGGCTTCCGGGTCGTCATGCGGCGGCGCCGACTCCTCCAGCCAGTCGGTGACGGTCGTGCCCCATTTCCGGCTGAAGGATCGGCAGCGGAGGGGGGTTCCTTCCCTCCCTACTCCCTCCTGCGGCTCCTCCTGCTGCTGCTGCTGCTCCTCCCTTCCATCTCCATCCTCTTCCTCTTTCCTCGACCTCGCCCTTTTTCCTTCCTGCTTCTCCCTCTCGTCATCCCATCCCCCCCTCTTCCTTTCTTGTTCAAGACCATTTTCGTCCAAGATTTGGGGACTCTCCTTTCACTTGTCGAAGCATCCGTGGGCGCCTCCCCCACGGCGAAAACGACGAACATTACGAAGCAACCATAGCCTCTCCCTCCTCATGCTGGCGACGTCTGCCTGACAAATTCTCGGGGGCGCCCTGGAATCAGAACCGCATCGGCGGCAGGACTTGGTGCTGTCCTCAGTCTGGGTGCCGACGCAGCAAGAGGTGCTTCCGCAAGCACTGCAGGGCCCCTTGTGCTGCCGTCGGCGGGCGTGACCCACCTGCCAGGGGACGGAGTTGGCCGCCGCACCAACACCATGTGAACAGAGCGGGCGGTGGCAGCAGCAGTCATCAACCTCTTTGTTCAGGGCCCCCGTCCGAGGCAGCGGCAGCGTCCTCCTCGCTTCCATCGGCCCTTGGCTTGCGGGCGAACTCTGCGCGGCGCCGGGGCGAGAGCCACCTGTTCGTCCGCGCGCGCGCGCGTCGACGGAGCTGCGTGCGGAGAGCGTGCGCTGCGCCAGACGGGAGCCCAATCCTCCAGAGAAGTGAGCCCAGCGACGGGGCGAAACCTACAGTTCGGCCGTCCGCGCGGGATGCCCGGCCCTCCCTGTTTCTGCCGCGCATTTCGCAACACGGACGACGCCATGTCCACGCAGACAGCGAGCATGCCGATTGTGTATTGGCTTAGCAGCAGGTATGATGGGAGGTCCCGGATCGGGCGGCTATCAGTCAGCTGGGTGGCAGCTTGGGAGTTTAAATTACGAAGGAATGAAGACTAAGGAATGAGGATTAGGGCGTCAGTGCTAGGTTGTTAAGGCTAGGGTGCTGGGGTTAGGATGTCACGGCTAGGGTGGTGCGGTTAGGGTTTTTGTGGTAGGGCTAGGGCATTCGGCTTAGGGTCAGGCGGTAGTTTTGAGGGTAGGGTGTCAGGATTGGGGTGTTATTTCGGTCTTAGGGTCAGGATATCAGGGCGTCAGGGTTTCTGGGTAAGGCTGTTAGGCTCAAGGAGTTTCGGGTGTTAGGGTGGTGTTAGGGCGTGAGGGTTAGGGTTCGTGCTTAGGGTTAGGGTGGTAGGGTTAGGGGTCTAGGGTTAGGGTGAGAATGTTAGGGTTTAGGTGTTAGGATTGGTTTGGTAGGGTGGTAGGGGTAGGGCTCCTGAACCGGGTGGGTGCTATGGCCACAGGGGGGAGTTGGCGGTCCGATTTTCTAGTCCAAGGCGGTCGGGTTCACGCCCCCACACCCCCTCTTTTGCGAGAGGGGGGGAGGGGTCTGGCACGACGGATCGGGAAGGGTAAGGGCGGGGGGCTCTCAGGACGACGGAGCAGTAGAGAGGGGGTTTTGGGTATTTCGGACCCACCCCTCCAGGGAATCCAGCGGCGCGCCCTCCAGGATAGGACCCCGCCAGTCGCAGGAAATGGTTATGATATGGCAGCAGCGTGGACGGGCCCTCCCCCAGACGGCTCAGTCACAAACTTGTAATACAAATTTCTATGTTTCCGATGGCTCCTCGGAGGGCGGCGCACAGGGGAAACAGGAGGAGGAGGAGGAGTGGAATGGAGGCCGCCGACCAAGAATCAGACTTGCACTTGCAAGGTGCTCCATCCTAAGCGCGCCGACATGACGGCCGGGGCCGGCCCTTGACGACGTCTTTCATGATTGCGCCCTCGGGATGACGTGTCAAAGCGAAGCAGGCACTTCTTCCTCTCCCTCCTCCCCCTCCTCTCCCTCATTCTCGTCTCTTCTTCCTCATTCGCCCCCCCCTTGCCCCCACAATTCTTCCCCTCCTGCTTCCCCCTTCTCCGCCTCCGCCCCCTCCTCTCCCCCGCCCCTGTCCCTGTGTCCCTTCCTCTGCTTCCCCTCTTCCTTCCGCGTTTCTCATCGATTTCCCTCCCTCCTCCCTGCCCTTCCTCCTCCCTCCTCCCTGCCCTTCCTCCTCCCTCCCTCCCTGCCCTTCCTCCTCTGCCGCCTCCCGGTCGGCCAGGGGGGGCGGGCTGGCCAGGACGCCGAGCGCTTCCTGGCCCTCTGCCGGACCCGCAGGCAGAGCGGCGGGCCCTTCGACTGCACCCTCTCCGAGGGCGGCACGGCGGCGCAGTGGCGCGAGGCCCCGGGGGCCGGCCTCTTCTGCGTCGCCGCCGCCCACGTCGCCCTCGCCGCCGCCGCCGCCGCCGATGGCGCCGGCGTCTCCGTCGCCGTCCGCGACGTCGCCGCCGGCGGCGGCGTGCGCGTCGTCGCCGTCGCCGCCATCGGCGCCGCCGTCCACGTCGTCGCCGCCGCCGATGGCGGCGTCCGCGTCGTCGCCACCGTCGTCGGCGGCGCCCGCGCCCGCCGCCGCCGCAGCCGCCGGCGCCGTCCCCGTGCCGGCCGCGGCCCGCGCGGCGCAGGGCGGTGGCGGCCCTGGCTGTGCAGGGCCGCAGCCCGCAGCGGCCGCCGAGGGGGGCGGCGGCGGCGGCACGAGGGCGCACCGGCACGGGGCTCCTGGGGGAGCATGTCCTGGCCCGAGGTGTGTGGCGCGTCCGTCGTGGGTTCTGGCCAGGGCGGGCTCCTGGGCAGAAGCGGGGGTCGGCCTGCGGGGAGGAGGCGAGGAGGAGAGGGGGGGGGAGGAGGAGGGGGAGGAGGAGAGGAGCAGGATGAGAGGAGGAGGGAGGAGGAGGAGGAGGAGGAGGAGGAGGAGGGAAAATGAGGAGGACGAGGAGGAGGAGGAGGATGAGGAGGAGGAGGAAGAGGAGAGGAGGAGGAGGAGGAGGAGGGGAGGAGGAGGAGGATGAGGAGGAGGAGGAGGAGGAGGAGGAGGAGGAGGAGGAGGAGGAGAGGAGGAGGAGGAGGAGGAGAGAGGAGGAGGAGGAGGAGGAGGAGGAGGAGGATGAGGGAGGTGATGAGGAGGAAGGAGGAGGAGGAGAGGAGGAGGAGGAGGAGGAGGAGGAGGAGGAGGAGGAGGAGGAGGAGAGGAGAGGAGGAGGAGGAGGAGAGGAGGAGGAGAGGAGGAGGAGGAGGAGGAGGAGGAGGGAGGGAGGAGTAGGAGGAGGGGAGGGAGGAGGAGGAGGGAGGAGGAGGAGGAAGGAGAGTAGGAGGAGGAGGAGGGAGGAGGAGGAGGAGGAGGAGAGGAGAGGAGGAGAGGAGGAGCGGAGGAGGAGGAGGAAGGAGGAGGAGGAGGAGGAGGATGAGGGAGGAGGAGGAGGGAGAGGAGAGCAGGAGGAGGAGGAGCAGGAGGGAGGAGGAGGAGGGAGGAGGAGGAGGGAGGAGAGGAGGAGGGAGGAGGTGGAGGTCAGTGGCCATTTCGGCTCACATGCGAACCGCGGGCCCTGGCGGCCTGTGCTTGGATGCAGTCAAGGGGCAGGCTCGATTGCACGTAGTTCTTTCACGATCGACCCTTCGGCGAGCTACCTCATCGGTCGTGGTTTCAGACCATGCCGAGGGGCCTCATCCCTCGGAGGTGTGCCATGTCGGGCGGCAGTGGCTCCAAGGATGTACTCCTCGAGCCGCGCATGCCGCACTGGAATAGCACGAATTGTCATATGAAGAGGAACTGGGCATCGAGGCTCAAGTGTGTGTTGCGGCTGTGCTGAGCTGGTTGAGGTGGCACGTGTAGCCGAGAAGGCACACGAGAAAACGGTGGCAGCCAAAGGTGAGCAGCGTGATCCTCAGGGGCGTTGGAGCCAGGGCAGTCTCAAGATGAAGAGCTCGTTGCAGGCCATCATCAGGAGGCTCGTCGGGCTGGAGAAGCAGCCGAATACAACATCGAAGACGCCACCGTGGGCCCAGGTGCCGCGGGATGATGCAGCTAAGGATACCAAGGAGATCAAGGAGAGGCTCGCGCACTGTCAGAAGGCAGCCAAAGCCTCGGTTCACGATGATGATAGGAGCAAGGCTGAAGAGCAGGCAGGGAACCTACATAATACCCTTCAGGGTGCCAAGCCTTTGCATGTTCAGCCGTCGTCGATTTCAGGCAGGCTGGCAAAGGTGAAGCAGACGGTTGGAAGCAGGCGGTGGACAAGAAGGTTGAGGATGCCACCGCGGCCCTGGAGGAGGCCAAAAAGCCAGCGGAGGTTCTGAATCAGGAGGCTTTCCTCAAGGGCCTCTCGAAACCAGAATGTGGACAGGTTTTCAAGATGGGTGACCAGCAGGTCGCTTTGGCCAGCGCGGAGCTCAACGTCTGGCTCGGGCAAAAGAATGGCGACCGGGCTGGTGCAGCCGGAGACGCTCGGGGCCACGCTGGAAGCCCAGGCGACAGCGTGGCCAATGCCAGCAGTCTACCTTTAGTTGTACCTGATGGTGGTGCTGGTGACATAGCTCTGACGACGGTGAGAACGTCGACGAGCTTGCAGGTGCAGCGGAGGCTGTGGCACCAGCGCGAGCGGACGCTGCCAAGCCAAAAGCAGGATATGACGCTGAAGGGGAATGGGGGGCAACTGCGCGCATTCGCAAGCAGACGATGGCAGCCATGGCGGAGCAGAAGCATCGTGTTTGACGGGGCCGAGGTGGACAGCTTCGAGTCCTGCTGCTATGACGGCGGCGATGCGATTGCCGGCGCGCTAATGCTGGCCAGGTTCGCATCGCGAGAGGCATTGAGGAGACAGCCATCGGGTACCACGTGTTCTGGGTCTGAGGTTTGTAGTACCCCTTCGATTGCTACGTCGTTGTCAGCACCAGGTGCTGACGAGGCGCCTCGCGTCAACGAGATGACGTTCCTGTTGTTGGCAGCCGACCCAGGACGCCCATGGGTCAGAGGCGCTCCCAGAGGAGGCAGGTATGGGGGTGCCTTCTTTACAATGCTAACAACTGGAGTTCCTGGGCTACTGTTCTGGAGTGGCTGCTTGGAGACACCAGAGGACCAAGGCCGTGAGGTTGGACGGGACACGAGATACCAGTTTTGGAAAGCCCCCGTGAATCTCAGTATGCAGTCTCACTGAGGATTAGGGGGGGCAGCGTGGACTTTCGTCTTGGGGTGGCTACGGGTGCTGCTTCTCTGGTCACATCTGCAGGCGTGTTTTTGTACGTTCTAGGGGTTAGGCTCACGAATCAGAGCACTATGAAGGTTGACGAGGTGGGCAACGCACCTGGTGCTACAAGATAGCGCTCTGTCGGTGCATGTCCACGGGGTTATCTCTGGATGCTTGGTCTGGCTCTCGGCCTAGCCCCACCCTCCCGGGGAACCAAAGGTAACCACCAACCTCGGATGGCAGGACTTGGGATATCTCAGAGTTGTTTGCCCCTTCGTGGGTTTATCGAGTGCGACGCTTATATGAACCAAACAAGCAGATTAGCTGCCTGGTGCTTCCAGCGCGGGGCCACGGTCGTTGCCGCCGATCAAATCACGCGCGCTACTGGCGCAGGGCGAGCGTTGGACTTTGAACAGTAGTCTGCCGGCGCGGCGTCGTGCGCGGACCCTGCCGAAGTCTGGCACGAAGCCCCCTTCCGCCGCGTTCCCCGGCCGAACTGAAGCTGCGCGAAGGTGGCCTGGATTGCCCCATCCGCGCCAGATGCGCGCGGAGAACGCCCCCCACTTAGTCGCGCCCGGGGTGGCAGAAGGAGCCCGCGAAGGAGATCTGGGATGGGGAGTCGGGGGCGCGGGGGCCCTGGGGCCCGAGCAACTCGGAGACCTCTGGGTCGATTTCACCGAGCAGGAGGGGCGAAGCGAAGGATGACTGCGTCTGCTGATCTGGGGGATCCACGAGCCAGTGGCACGCGCGTACGACCCCACAAGTTTGAGCTCGGCGTTCTCTCGTTGCCTTTGCCAGCGACGAGGGGCTGTCTTCGGAGAGCCCGGAGGGCCCCGAGCCGCGGCCGCCAGTTCTCGCGGCAGAATTGGCGCTGGACCACAACATCCAAGACTCGGCGGTTATTTGCCTGGCGCCTATCCTTGCCGCGGTGATTAGGATCGCAGGGGACTTGGTGGGATCTGAGCTGGGATGTCTGGGGGTCACGGCTAAAAATACTCGCCATGCAATGTTGCTACGAGATTGTCATAAGTGGGGTCTACGAGTCGGAGGCGCCCACTCCGGGCCCAAGAACAAGCCCTGCTGAGTCGCAGGCGAAAGAAGACTGGCCGCTGCAGGGGTGCATGGCGGCCTCGGCACTGCGTGGTGAACGGGGCATGCAGTTGTCAGACCAGGCAGCATGCCCTTTCTGACGCAGCTCCTCCGCTTGCAAGGCCAGATGAGAATTTGGTTCGCCAGGCTCTTCGCATATTCAAGCGTGACGCAGGTATTCGGGTGGACTGTATGAATGCAATGTATAGGTTGTGATCTTCCAGGAGAGTTCATAGATCGGGAGATTGATTTGATGGTGATCTTGGAGAAACGGCAGAGCTCCAAGCGTAGCATGCTGCCGCGATAAATTCCAGGTGGGCTAGGGGGGCAGGTTTGCACCATCAGGCGCCCAGCGTTTGCGCGCTGCGCTGCTGGGCCCGCGCGAGACAAGTTGAGGCGCGAACCTGGGGGCATGATGACCCACTCCTAATGTTCAGTGGAGTCGGAGGCCGCGAGCGCGACGAGGCTGGTCGGCAGCGAGCGATGGCAATTGGGCTCGCGAAAAAAAGGACGCGTGAATGGGGCGCCCTCTTTCCGGATCCGGTCATTCCGCGAGCGGGTTGCCGCGCCCCTGGGATCGCGGTCGATGATGCGAATGAAGGTATGTTCCACTGTTGGTTGGCCAGAGCTGCGACTCAGCATTGCACGGGGGACAGGGTTCGAACCTTCCGCGAGGTGATCCTTTGCGCGGCGGAAACCGCGGGCGCGATCGCGGCGGGGTGTAGCTTCGCAAACGCGTTTGCTAGAGTACAGCGCAGGCGGTTGCAGTCAATGGGGGCCCCGGTTCCAGAGCTCGCAATCAGGGTTGTCAACGACGATGCGTCGATTCAGGTGCTCGGCGCAACGCAGCTCGTCGCTGACCAGTTCGGCAGAGCAGGCGTCGTGCTGCGCGCGGGGTTCGGCATGAGACCCCGGGTCCAACCTGGGAGACCTATTGATTCCATCGCGCCGCGCAAGGAGCTCGAGCTCTTCTTGAACAGCAGCTGGTGTCGGCTTAGATTCGCTGCTGAGGAGCGCGTTCGGCCTCTGAGATGTAGCGCAGTGGCCAGGAGAAAGCGCGGGGGCTCTAACTCCAGGACCAGGCATAAGAGAACGGGCAGGAACCCCCGGAATATCTTGAAGCTGCAAAGTGCCAGGGTTCGAGCGAGCGCGCCCATGGCTCTTAGCTCGCGGGCCCTGGGGGCCTTCGGGCGCCGGGCTTACTTCGAGGGGGATCCGTGCTATGAGGTCGGTTCTGGCAGGGGCTGTCTTTCTGTTCGCGTCCACGTGTTCTTTGGGCTTGCATGGGCCCTTGCGTGATATCCCGCGTTGGCATCGTGTGGCAATGGTGCGGGGCTGTCTTGGATTCGATATCTTGTGTTCAGCGCTGAACAGGCTTGTGGCATAGCAAGCTCCATGGCAGGCGTCGATGTCGCCAGCGCGTGCTCGCCATGTCAACCTAGCCGAGAAGGGGGGCGGTCTGCGAGCTTGCCCGGCTCCATGCCAGACACTGGGATAATCAGAAAGATCTGCCGTTGAGAACCCCGTGCGACAAATTTCGGCGCGCCTTCGTTGACTTGCAGGACCTCGCAGGTCTGGGCGACACCGCGAGGCTTGCGTTGGAATGTGCTATTGTTGTCTGGACCTGGGCTCGCCCTGGACCGCGGCCAATCGGAGGGCGACCTCTGTCAGCCGCGCAAAGCTGAAGGAGGTAATTTCTTTAGCTGGAGATGTGTCTGCGAGGTCTTCGAAGTGGCTTGAGGTCAACATAAATCATTGCATGTTAGCCGGCGCGGGTGCTAAGTGACGCAGTCTACGCGGCCCCCCCCCCCCGCTCCAATCCTTAGTGACGGGGTGGCTGAAAGAAACGCGACCTACTATGTCCCCTGGCGGCTCGGGGATGGGCGCTCATCCTTCGGGAAACGCTTTTCTCAACCGCCGACCTGGGCTGGCTGCCCCTTCGGCTAAGGCGCTGAGAGCAGCGGCGCATGACTTGATGCGCGCATCGATGCTACATGTATTAGTCGTGCGCTCCCATGCGCGTTGCTTGAGAGTCTTTGGCACCTTTGAGTCACAACGCTGGCAAATCTCTTCAACGTTGATTCCTTCCTCAACAAGACGGATGAGCTCGAAACTCGTATGTGTTGTTGCCGTGGTTGCGGAGACTTTAGGGGGGTATCGACACTCCTCTTCCTCTTATCACGCAGGCCCCGCAGCAGTGGGCAAGAGTGGGGAGAGCGAGCGCGCAAGAGAGGGATAGAGAGATCCGTTGTGCTGGCTCTGGCGCGTGGGCCCCACGGATCGGTTTCGTGTGTGGGCCCGCCCACGTGCAGACGTCGAACACCGCTCTTTAAGCGCGAGCTGCGTTGGGGGGGGACGATCCTGCCGCCTTCGGCTCTTTCTGCCTTCAGTTGAGGACAACCACCCCGACCCCCATAACTGGCGCCTGGGGAGCGGCCCCGGGCGTTCACTGAGCAGCCCTGTCCCGGTCGATGCTTCTTGGGTGCGTTTGCTGAACGGCTTCGCTTGTCGGGTTGCTTATCATGGGGGTGTTGCCCCTGCTCTCTCTATGCCCACCACGGGGCTTGCGCGGCGCACTCGCCGCCAGGCGCGCTGCAGAGCAGGTTCAGCCCGGGAGACCCATCGAGCTAGGAGCTTGCTTCACACGGGTTGAATGGCCAGAAACCACCTGGGGCCAGCGGCAGGGCACACGCCCCAAAGAGGGCGACAGGGAGGAGGCGGAGGAGGCGGAGAAGGAGGAGGAGGATGACGACGACGTTGAGGCAGACGAGAGGGGATAATCTGAAGCAGCGGCCGCGGCTGGCTTCTTGGGCAGGCGGCCGCCATGGCCGCGGCCGAGGCCACAGTCCGCGAGAGGCCAGCCGCGTGATGAAGGAGCGTTCGCGCCGTGCGTGGGTTCATGTGCAGTCAACCCGCATAGTAAGGATGGGCAACCTTGCCAAGGGTACCTTTGCATCCCTGCCTCCTCGGTCCATCCTTGGCCGCTGCCGCTCTTGCCAACTTCCTTCGAAAAACGTTAACGTGGCCTCCCAGGGCCCTTGCATCCTTACCGCGCGCGCGTCCTTATCATACGGGTTGGTTGTTACGTACGCGTGTGTCCTTCCATCGTTCTTGACCTTTCTTCATATCGCCATTCCCGGCGAGGTCTACGCAGACGGCGAGCAGGCGCTGAGCCACTTGGCCGACATGGACAAGAAGCTCGAGCCCCTACTGGACGGGCCTGCTGAGTTGGAGAGGCTAGAGGCATGCTCCATCCTTCTCTCCCCCGCCCCCCCCCTTTTAGCCGCTTCTCCTTCCCTTCTCCTCGTGTCCTCCCTCCTCTCCTTCGTTTCCTCCTCTCCTCCCCCCCTCCCGCCCCCCCATCCCCACCTGCCACGAAGGAAGGGGGTCCCGAGAGAAACGGGCCCTGGACTCCATTTCCCCCCCACCGCCGACGGGCGAAAACCAATCTCGGCAAGCCTTTCGGACAGGTCCCTGCAGGACAAACCGTCGAAGCCTCAGGGCCTCCCCGCCCCGTGGCCGGCTCTGCCTCCCGCGTAGTGCCTCGTCGGCCCGGGGCTTGTGGAGGGCCCCAGGGGCCCACGCGGCGGCGCAACACTCGCCCAAGGACACCTGAGCGACACAACACAACGGGGTCGTCTTCGCCGACATTGACGCGCAAGCTGCCCGCAGAAGGTCGCGCGTGAGCGCCCTCGTCTCCACTCTATCGTGCCGCACTGGCGGCCCGCGTAAGCTGCGGCGTAAGCTCGCTGTGCCACCTTGCGTAAGACCCGCTTTGGATCGTCGCTCACCTCTCCTCTGGAGGACCAGCTTCCTTCACGCCGAGCCTTGCCAGCCCGCTCCCTTCCCCCTCGAGCTCGGCCTCGGGCTCGAGTTCGGACTCGGGTTCGGGCCTGGGTTCGGGCTCGGGCTCGTGCTCGGGCTGAGCTCGGGTACGGTCCCGGGCTCGGGCGCGGGATCGCGCCCGGGCACTCCTCCGCAGCCTGCGCGCCCGCCCAACTCTGGCACCGGTGGCCGCCAGGGCCGCACGCGAGCCTGGAGGCGCAGGCCTCGGACCAGTTCAGATCCCCCGGCCGCCTCCAAGCACAAACGCAAAGCCTTTCAGTTCGGCAGCGCCTCGAGAGTGCCGAAGGTACTTCAAAGTGCCTTCCCGCCAGATTGGCAACAGGGATTTGCTTTCTGATGCCTTCCCCCCCATCCTCCCACAGCGCCTGCGCGTCCCCGACCCCATTCTCTCACTGCAGCGGAGGGCTCGCCCTCGCCAACGCCTCCGCGCGATCCAGCAGTCCGAGCCAGCACGAGCGCCCGGCAGGCAGGGCTTGCGCGAAGCGCGTGGAGCGCTGCATCCATCCTAGGGGTCGAGCAAGAGTAGACCTGCACCTGCCCAGGACCCCAGGACGCCGTCGCCTAGGCCGTCGCCCGCCTCGTCCCCTCCCCCCTCTTCTGGTTCCCCCTCTCTGGAGGGTGTCTCCGAAGGGCTTAGGCGACCCGTCCTCCTCCTCCTCCTCCTCCTCCTCCTCCTCCTCCTCCTCCTCCTCCTCCTCCTCCTCCTCCTCCTCCTCTCCCCCAATCCGCTCATCCACAATTTCACAGCATGAGTACTGCTCTCCCCTCTCGCCAGGATTTGTGCTAAGAGTGTCCCCCCTCCCTCCGCATATTGTGTTTTTGCACTTGTTTTGGGCGAGCGAGCTTCCCTTTCGTGCTTTCTCTATTCGATCCCTCCGCGTATAATTTGGTTGGCCTCGTATGCGAGTTTGCGGTCCGTGTCAATGGTGGTCCCACTGGCGTGTTGGCCTCCAGCATGGTTTTCCCACTCCACTGCCCATGTAGCCATTGTATGCAATTCAGTGCGATGTACCGTTATGAAGCGATTCCATGCCTTGGTTTGCCACGTTGTTGTAGTATGCAGCGTTGAATGAATTACGCAGTGCCATGCCATGCAATGGCATGTTATGCAATGCTATGTCATGTGCCGCTATGCGACGCCATGCCTTGCGCCGCAATGCTATGATACGTGATGGCTGACGACACAATGACATGCCATGCCATGCCATGCTCTGCATCGCGCACCTTTGGGGGGTTGATGTCTTCTTCAACATCCTACTGTGCTAATTGAGTGGGGCTCCTACTCAATGGTAAGGGGTGCGAGGGGAGGGTATGGCGTCAGATGTGACGTGAGCGCACCTAGCTTGTCTCCCCAGACATCCGGCCGCTTCAGTTTTTTTGATGCGTGGGCCCTGGAGGTCTGGACTCCACTTTTCCAGGGCCGGCTTTCCGTCCTGGGTCGTTCGGGGACGGCCCCGAGGCCCGGCGAGGGCCCCCTGAGGCCGGAAACGGCCAGAGCCCGCCGTTGACGTCACCCTTGGATGGAGCGTCGGCCCTCTGGGTCCTCGAAGCTTCCCCCCCCGGCCCCCCGCGCGCCCCCCTTGCCGAGGGAGGCGGGCGCGGCCTGGGACGGCGGGTCTTCGATCACGCGCCCGTTCTGCACCTGGGACGCTTTCTGCGCGGCGGCGACGACGGCAGCGACGACGGAGAGGCGGCGACGACGGCGGCGACGACGACGACGGCGACGACGGCCATCGGCAGGTCCACGGCCCGGAGGAGGAGCTGGCCGTGCTGCGCGGCGCCCTGGCGCCGCTCGGCTGCCTCTTCTTCCCCACGGGGCCGGGCGCCGCCGCGGAGGCCGTCGCCGGCGGACGGCGACCCACGACCGAGACGACGAAGGTCGAGGGACCTACGACCCCCCAGCGGGTCATGAAGAAGTCACGGCGGAAGGTGTTTCGCCGGGTACTTTCGGTCTCCGGGAGGCCCTCGCCCGGCCTCGGGGCCGTCCAGCAACGACTCGGTCGACCAGACGTCAGGGTGACCGTTCGCCGGAGTGACCTTTGGTGCGGGCCAAATGGGGCCCCCCGATCGCCGAACGCGAGGCGGCAGTGGCGTCTTGCGCGCTTGTGTTTGGCCTCCTCGCGGCCCTCCAAAAGCCGCGCACCAAATTCAAGGTCACTCTTACCCAGGGTCACTCTTGCGTGTAGCCGACTTGGGACGAAAAGCCGGTCCCGGGGAGTGGGTCGAGACCTCTGGGGGCCGACGTTGTGAAAAAATCATGATGCCGGGGTCTGGGGACGAGGGCGACGAACGGCAGACGACCCACGGCCAAAGACGATCGATCCCCGACGAAGGGCGACAAGCGACACGACACACGAGGACGACGAACGACGAGAGACAGACGACGATCGACGGCGGTGGCGACGATGGGCGACGACCGACGAAGGACGAGCGAAGTCCGCCGACGCGGGAGCGCGGCCCCGAGGCCGACGCGGCCGACGCGGCGTCCGCCTGGGCAAAGGACGTCGTCGTCGTCGTCGTCGTCGCCGTCGTCGGTCCGTCGTCGTCGTCGTCGTCGTCGTCGTCGTCGTCGTCGCCGTCGGTCCGTCGTCTGTCGTCGCCCGTCGTCCGTCGTAGTCCGTCGTCCTCGTCCGCGACCCTCGTCATGCGCGTCCACTGTCATCTGTCGTCATCGTCGCCGCCGCCGTCGTCCGTCGTCCGCCCCCTTCGTCCATCCTTTGTCGAGGTCGTTCAGGTCGGCACCGCTCGTGGCCGGGACGGCCCCTGGCTTGGAGTCGGCGCATGCGCCCTCAGGGCCTTGGCCACCAGGCTCTTCTCCCCGTCCTCTTCGTCCTCTTCGTGTTTCGCTCTGCGCCACGGGTCGGGCGCCCGGGCGGGGACTTGTTTCGTGGATTCTCACCCGCCAGCCCCAACCAGGCTCCACCTCGCGCACCCCGCGGGCATAGTGCCGGCCATCGGTCGGGAAGACTTTATGGCCCAGTGCTAAAGCATGGCCCTGGGACCCGACACCGCGCACAGAGGGATCTAGCCCTTGGCCACAGCGCCACCCACGGGAGAAAGGGTCCTACTCCTGCTCGTCGACGCATTGCCTGGTTTCTTGTGTCTTGTTCATCGAACCAATCAGCGTCTGAGCATGGTGGGCGCCGTGGAAGCCACGGCATCTTGTCTCAAGCTCGTGTTGGTCCCCTTCGCTCGCGGTTGGCCTCGCACTCAGCTCGTGGCACGCGCCCCGGCAGTTATTCACGAAGAAGAGCGCCTTCTCCTCCTCCTCCTCCTCCTCCTCCTCGTCCTCCTCCTCCTCGTCCTCCTCCTCTACTCCCGCCGCCGTTCCACCGCCACCACCTGGAACGAAGGCCGAGCCCGTCTCCGGCGCCCACTCCGATGCAAGATTGCAAGCGCAGCTTCGCCTCATCTGTGCCTTCCGAGACCACAGACAGCGAAAACAGTTCTGTGCCAGTTGTGCCCCCCGCGACACCCAGATGCCCCTCAAACTGTCCATCGCGTGTACACGCGCGGCTCCGCCACGGCGTCGAGAACTGTTGTCAATACTTGTTCGACGGCGTAGGTTTCAGCGAGACCTCGACAACAGTGTGGAGCGGACCTGAGCGCGGCGGATGCGCTTCCCGCGAGCTTGCAAAACCCGCCGACCTCCTCATGCCCCGTCGTCAGACTCCCTCGGTGATTGCCTCGTTCTCGAGGCACTACGAGCGAGGCTGTGGTCGATTGGCGCTGGACCCCCGCTGGCGGCGCCCGAGCCCTCTTCCTGTCGTTTCGACGTTGGGCGGACTTCGATGGCCCTTTGGATCTAGGCCTCCTAGATGGGGTCGGAGTAGGTGGGGTCGAAGGATCGCTCCGCATCGCCGATGCGTCGGCGATGCGGCTCGATGTGGAGCCCAATTTGGTTCACGTCGGCGTCGCGGATGCACGGCCCACGTCGACGATGCATCGCCGGTGCACCGCCAATACATCGCCGATGCCTCGCCGATGTATCGGCGATGCGGCGCGATCTTCCGACATAGATAACGCTGAAGATCAGCGCGCCTATCTTGCAGCCCTGCCGAGCCCCCATCCCGGAGGCTCGAGATCGGCCCAGGGCCCAGGGGCCGACGAGGGGCCTGGGTCTCTGCGGGCCGCCGCGAGGGCGCGCCCTCGGGCGCCCCGCGGCCTCGCCCTGCACCGCACCGGCAGCACGTGCGGGCACGGGCGGGCCCCAGAGTGTGGAGCAGATGACGAGCCTGTTTTTCCCACCACCAGAAGCCGAGGCCACGAGCGGCCTGCGAGTCGTGCGGCGCTCGTCGTGCCCTGGGCAGGTCCTCGCGTTTGACTGGGCCTTCCTGCGACGTGCCCTGAGTCGGGGCCTCGCGAAGAGTGGGACGCACTGCGTGCTGGGCGCAGCGCCTCGCAGTACATCCGAGCATCTGGCGTGAGCACGGCGTCGGTGCGGACGGGGCCCGGAAGGGCAAGGACACGACCGGCACGGACCGCACGGAGGTGACTGGGCAAGACGGTCAAGCGGGCCTCCAAGTGCCTCAGCCAGTCAGGTGCGTTGAAGGCATGGGTCGCTGTGATGTGCTCAAAGGCGCCCGTCGAGCCACCGCCACCCCTCGGCAGTTCCCCCCATCCTTCCCTTCTCCCTTTCCCCCTCCTCCCCCTCTTCCCCCTCCCAAGGAGCGGTGGGCCAGGGCGTCGGTTTGGCGGGCGCGCTGGGATCCCCGAGGCGGCTCAGACGCCTCGTCGAGGGGCAACGTGCACCCCCTGGAGGTATGCTAACCCACGCCCTTCCTAAGAGGGCGCCTCCTAATAAGTAATGCTGGGGTCTCCTTGTGTCATCCCTGCGCTAGTGATGGCGGACAGTGCCACAGAGGGTTCCCTCTCCTGGTCTTCGGATGCTAGCGGGGGCTGCTCAATTCCTCCTTGGATTCCCTACCGCTCCGGCTCTTTCCCTCACGGCACGATCCGGGACTCAGGCCAGAGGTGTCCTTACGTGGTGTCCACGATATCAGACCAGAATGGACCGTATGCAAGCGGCTGTGTCAGCTTGGAGAATTGAGGATGCGGCGTAATGCCTCTGATTCGAGATGTTGGGACCGTGTGACATAGGAGCGCCAGATGGGTGTGCGAGGTTGGGGCACGGTGTCTCGTGGCCGGTACAACCCTGGCTCTGGCTTTGCGTGCGTTCGGTTGTTCGATCAGCGGGTCCGGAGGGGAACGGGTGCTGAGGTCTTTCGCCGTTTTCGGGCTTTCGGGGCCCTCCGCAGGCTCCATGAGTGTCAGCACACGACTCCGGATGCACAGCTCGTCCTGGGGGGAAGGCCCCAGAGTCCAGGACTCGTTGCCGTCAGGACCCGTTTCCCCCGTGCTGAAGCGCCTCGGGACGGAGGGAAGGAGGAAGGGGTCGGACGGGGCTAGGACGATGACAAATCCGTTCCAGACCGTTCCGGAACGCTCCCAGAGCATTCCGGAATGCTTTGAGAAGGCCGCGGCGCACGACACGCCCCCCAGAGTTGGCGGATCTCAGATATCCCCGATCAAACATTACCCGACGTGATCCTCACCCGGGCTTCGTCTCAGGAAGGGGCGAGGAGGGGAGGGTCCATGGACCCCCCGTGCCCCAGGCGTGGCATGCGGGACCGCCATTTCTGCGGGGAAGGCCAGACACGCTCCCTTTGGGCGCTCGCGGCCTCGCGCGCGGTGGCGAGGCGGAGTAGGGGCGCCGGGCAGGCCACCTGCGCAGGGACCTGGCCGCAAGCGTGGGCGCATCTTAGGCTCGGCACGCCGGGGGGCCCTCGCACTTGCCGCGCGGAGGGCGACGGGGCCAGGCGCGCACCGACCGCTGCAAGCGCGGTGGCGGATGCAGCCCTCGCCCTCCCCTCCCGAGGACACGCGTGTGAGCGTGGCGCCCTACTTCCGGGTGCGGGACGCCGCCGAGTTCAAGAGGGTCTGGAGGTCCGCGGCCACTTGCGAAGCCCACCCCCGACGGGGGTCCACTCGACGCTGGGGCACCGGGTCGCCCCCGCTGGGCCTCACCTCGGAGGAGGAAGAGCGCATGGTAATGATTCGTTCCGAGATTTCCAGTCGGAGGCGGGAATTTCCGCGTAGCACCCCGCAGATGCGGATAAAAGTGAGGGGGCGGTGGGGACGTCGGCAGTTTGCGAGACTCCGGAGAAGCCCGCCGCAGGCGCCAAAGTTTCACAACTTATGCCACGAGCCCGCCGCAGGCGCCGATTGTTGGGTCGCGCAAATGGGTCGCGGGTGGGTCGCGGGTGGGTCGCGGGGCGGGTCGCGGGGTGGGTCGCGGGGTGGGTCGCGGGGTGGGTCGCGGGGTGGGTCGCGGGGTGGGTGGGTCGGGGGTGGGTCGCGAGATGGGTCGCGGGGTTGGACGCGGGTGTGTCGCGGGGTGGGTCGCGGGGTGTGCTGCGGGTGGGACGACGACAACAATCAAACAACAGCAACGCAACAAGCAGAATCCTCACCACGGATCCCCACTTCAGCCACGCACCCAGGGACAATGAATGACCGTTCGCCCACCTCACTCTGACATGACCACCGCCTGGAGGATCAATTTTCTGGGACCTCGGCAGGCTGTGGATATGGACATGTTCGGGCCCCCGGGGGCTAACATACATCCAGATCCACCGCCCGCTCAGGCACCAGGACGTCCGTTCCAAGGTGGTGGATATGGATCAATCCCCGCCTCGCATCCAGGGTTTCCCAGATTCCCGAATGCTTCACGAGGGCTGCAGAAGCAAGAGCCAGCCTTATGCTGGCATAAATTTCCGTCCTGCCCACTGGCCGCAGACACCTTTCACGTCCTCGGCCCCACCGGTTGTGTCTCATCAGTCTGGCCTGCGCGGGGTACGCTTCGCATGTGGCCTCCTGCGGAGGGCAGTCATGGACATCTCCGCCGGCAGCGGCGGCTGCGCCCGCCACGCCCTCGGCTTCTCGGAGGACGGCAAGAGGGCGACCGCAAAAGACGTCGCGGCCTCGGCTGCTCGCTGGGCGGGGCCCGGGCGTCCAACCTCCGCGGGCGTCTTCCCGCGCGTTAACGACCAAGAGGATCGCGAAGTTCCCGGGGGGGGGGATGCCAGATGGCTTCGTCGCCGTGTGCGGTGGGGTTTCTCGCTCCCCGGCAGCTGCGCCTCGCCAAGAGTGTGCCGACGGGGGGGGGGCGGGGCGGTCCCGATGGACCGCCCGAGGCCCGAGGCACGGCCCGAACGCCAGAGTGCAGCGGGAACGGTGCCCAGAGGCCCGTCGGACCGAGGAGCGGCCGGCTGGCCGGCCGACAGGCGGACAGGCCGAGAGCAAATCGTGGGGTCCAAAGTTTTCGGAGCCCCGCGCGGAGTTCTCGGATCGGCGCTGGTGCCCGCTGGAGGCGCTTCTGGCGCCGCCCACGGAGGGCGGGTACAGCGCGGATCCAAGAAGTCCGCGCGGACCTCCGAAAGTTTGAATATGTTCGTGCATGGTTTTCTGCTTCGCTGCCGCTTCGTCATGTTCACCACTTCAAGGCCTTCTTCTACCTGGTCTCCAGCTTTGGCTCGCTTTGTCGCAGTTTTGGCGCGTGCGCCTCCTTCTTTGGAGCTTCCCTATAAATTCCTGGCGCTCGGACTCGCCCGTGGCCCCTCATCCTGGCGCCCTGTACCTCATCAAGGCTTTACACTTCAAGCTGGCACTGGCCTCCGTTGCTCGTATGCAACTCGCACGTTCTTTCGGCGGCGCACCGCAATGGTCTGCACGATCTGAGCGGCTTTCTCTTCTTCTTGCTTCGCTCGGCTCTTCCTCTTCTTTCGTGCCCCAATCTGCTTCGGCGCGCCTTGCCTCTAGCCCCACCGGCGCATGACCGCCCCTTTGCACCCTTGCGCCCGCTGGCTTAAATGTGGTTTTCTCTTCTCAGTCGGCTTTTTTGATGATTTGGTAAACAGCAGGCGCCAGCCCCTCGGGAGGCTACGACTGGGGCAGTGCACGACAGGGAGCCTCGAGGGCAGGCGGTTGGTGGAGCCCCTTCAGACCTCCTGAGGATTCTCTGCGCAGCGGGGCTCGTCCGGTTTGGCGCAGCCCCTCGTCCTTTGGGTGCACGGCGGCAGTCACGAAATTGAGCCGCGACGGTGCCTTTGGCCGCGCATCGCCAGCTGACGCTCGAGGGTGGCCCGATCCCAGGTGCTTCTGCAGACACGGGAAGTCTCGTCAGCGCCCCCCACGGGTGATTGATTTGTCATTACCATCATCATGACCATCACTATCACCATCACCATCAACCATCATCATGGTTATTGTCATCATCTTCATCATCAGCATCATCATCATTACTCATGATCCTCATCGTCGCCCCCTGCGTCAACTTTACCACCTCCGCCCCCTAGAGGGAAACATCCTCTGGTGTTTTCGAGATCAACTTCAAGTGCAGAACTGCACCTGCAAACATACTTGTCGCCAGTGTATTTGGGAATTGCTTATGGGGGACGGCAGAAACAAACAGCATCAGCAGCATGATCGTCGTTGTCATCGCCATTGTCATTGTCATCGTCGCTCTCATCAGAAGATTGAGGAGGACACGGAGAAGGGAGGGAAGACGGACCAATAGAAGTAAGAGGAAGATGGATGGGGAGGATCAGTGAGGATTGAGGAGGAGGAGACGGAGAAGAAGGAAAAGGAGGAAGAGGAGGAGGTGGAGGAGGACTAAGGAGGTGCAGGAGGAGGAGGAAGAAGAGAAAAGATGAGGGGAACGTCAGAAGTGTTCCGAAACACGGTTGCTCGGGATTATCGGAGTTTCATATATGTTGGGCCAGCTAGTTACAGTAAGCGGCAATTGCGTCGATCGAGATCAGTTTTGGCCTGCTTGAGAGCCGTGCCCGCCAGTCGGACCCCTGAGCGCCCATGAGCTCGAAAGGAAGGAAGAAACCCAAAGGGAGAAGGAGACCTGGTGGTTGGGGAGCAAGGGGTGAGGAGGCGGAGGAACTGGAAGAGGTGGGGAGGGGAAGGAGCGAGGCGGAGGGGAGAAGCTGGGTGCGTTCGCGCCGTTGCCTTGGGGCAGAAGAACTGCTATGTCTGCTGACGCAGAATCCCCCTTCCCCCTCTTCCCCCTGGTCCTCGCATCTCTCCTCCTCTGGGCGTTGGTGCCAGTGATGCTCTCGCCGTTGCGTCTGCTGCTGCTGCTGCTACTGCTGCTACTGCTGCTACTGCTGCTACTGCTCGACCTCGTGGAGGTCCTGCGTAGCAGGCAGTCCAGGCAAAGACAGCCACATTCGTTGGATCAACCAGTTCACAAGACCATGCAGACCGTGTGCAGTATGTGATATGGATGCGCGCGCGGCGCGGATCTCTGGGCGAAAGCGAGCTCGGCTCGAGCGATCTGCGTAGCACTAAGGCCACGGGCCCTGAGACATAAAGTTGGCAGCGGCGAGCAAGGAATGACACCGCAGGTCCCTCGAGGCTTCTGGGGAAACCCTCTCGGGCCTCTTACATTCCTGGGGAGTGAGCTTGGTTCACACAGTAGACCGACCAAATCCAACGAACCAACCAGACCAGATCAATCGGACCAGACCAGACGAACCATATGAATTTCTCGACCAACCAAACCTGACCAGACCGAGGCCCGCCAAATAAACCAAACAAACCTAACAACCGAACCAGCCAGACCAGAGAAAGAACCTGCGCAAGGGTCACCTGCAAACCGAGATCGGATCCGAAAGAACTCTTCCGATCGGACCAACCAGACCAATCGGACGAGCCAGACAAACCAGACCCAGTGGAGCAACCACGCCAGACCAAGCAGACTAACCATCCAGACCAACCGTACACAAGAACAGCCAGCCCACACCAACCACGCCGAACGAATCAGCCACACGAATGAGGCCGACAGAGCGCACCGAACCAGACGACGAACCGAACCAGTCGGACGTCCCAGACCAGACCGACCAGACCAACCAGGTGAACCACTCGACCAGCCAGACCAGACCAGCCGGATCGGACCACGCCAACCAAGACCAGCAACCGAATTCAAATCGCTTCTGGCCCAAACCACTGCATGCGACAACAACTGTGTTGTTGCGATCGTGGTTGGCACTGCGCGCTTCGCAACTCCCTGGAGCACAGACTGCAATGCAACACACACACACACACACACACTGTTTTGCGGCGGAAAAGCCGCAAGTAAACAGGCCTGACCAACCAGAGCAGCCACCAAGACCACCCAGACGAGCCAGACCAGCCAGACCAGCCAGTAAGACCAAATAGACCAGCCAGGCTGCCCAACCAGACCAACCAGACAGCCAGCCGTTCAGACCAACGAGGCCCAGACCAGACTAAGCAGATCAACCTGGCCACCAAACAACGCAGTGCTGAAAACGACAATGCAAAGAACACCTGCTATGCAACAGGAGCAATTACTTTGCTGTGGTCGTGGCTTGGGCTGCTCGCTTCGCACCTCCCCGGACCGCCAAAACTGCAATGAAAAGAATTGCAATGGACAAATTGCAACGCAATGCAAAGGACAACTGCAATGCAGCACAAACTGAGTTGTTGTGGAGGTGGGCCGCTACGCGCTTCCCACCTCCCTGGACCTCCAAAGCCGCAATGCAATACACACTGTTTGCTGTGGTCGTGGCTGGCGCTGCGCATTTCGCACCTGCCTGGACCTCCCAAATCGCAATGCCAACAACAACTGCAGTGGAGAAATAATGCAATGCAACAAACACACTGCAATGCAAAAAGCTGCGGTTTGGTCGTTGTCGCCGACATGCGCGCTTCAACCGTCCCTGAACCTCCAGAAACCACGCTCGGCTCGCACGTGGAATCCTAAGTTTCTAGCAGTTCAAGCTCTAGCAGCGCCACTACAGCGCAACAAAAATTGCGATGCAAAACAGCTGCAATGCCACGAACACTGTAATGCAACATCACGTGTTTTTGTTGGTCGTCGTCGCCAATATGTGCGCTTCAACCCTCCCTGAACCTCCGCAAACCACGCTCGATTCGCACGCGGAATCCTAAGCTCAAGCTCTAGCAGCGCCACTACACATGCAATGCATAAAACAAGCACTGCAGCGACAACGGTTGCTTGGTGGTCGTCGCCGCCATATGTAATTTTCCTGTCCCGGGACCTCTCCGAAGCACGCTCGGTTCGCAGGCGGAATCCTAAGCTCAAGCTCCAGCAGCGAACAACAACTGTAATACAAAGCATGCAATGCAACATAACCTTGCCATGTAACAGCACATGTGTTTTTGCTGGTCGTCGCCGACATGTGCGCACCAACCCTCCTTGAACCTCCCCAAACCACGCTTGCCTCGCACGCGGAATCCTAAGCTCACGCTCTTGCAGCGATGCAGCACAACTCCGAAGCTCAAGATCAAGTCTCAAGCTTCAAGCGTGCTCGTTTGAAGTTTGGCGTTCCGCCGTGCGCTCCACGGCTACGAACTTTTCCGACATCCTAGCCTTCCCACCCGTCCATTTCCATGGCGCTGTTTTTTGTCAACCCGCAGACGCGCGCCATAGGTCATATGTAGCAGGCCTGGAATCCCAACAAGGACCACATCGTGTCATGCGCAATCAGGCAAAAAAGGAGCTACGGATCTTAAAGTATGAGGAGGAGGAGGTGGCGGATGAGGCGTCTCTTCTTCCTGCTCATCCGATGAGCAGGAGGAGAAGAAGGAGGAGAAGGAAGGAGCCGGAGTGGAAGGAGCGGGAGAAGGAGGAGGACGAGGAGGAGGAGGAGAACCAGGGGAAGGCAGAGGAGGGGAAAGGAGGGTGCGACAACGATGAGGACGGACTCGGATCCAGAAAAGTTGCCCGCGGTGGGGCGAGAGTGGCACTCTGATCGATGGGAGCAAAGCGCCGATTCTAAATGACGCCCACGCTGCAGCGGCAGCGCCGTCTTTAGACACCGAAGCCGCTCCAATTGAAAAAGCACGTAGGAAATATCAAGTTCAGAGGTCCTGTATGGGAAAAACCATACGCGGAAGAGGGCGGGTGACGCCCCAGCCAC